ATACTTTTTCTTGCAAATGTATATACACACTGTATGTTGAAATGTGTTTTATATATTACAAGATATATGAAAAATATTTTTAAAAATACATTTTCAAATATACTGTATGTCTTTAAAAATACTTTTAATCTACATTTTTTGGAATGCATTTACAAATGTATGTTAACATGACTTTTTTATATGTTAAAAAAAATCTGAAGAATATATTTAAAAATATATATATATTTTTAAAAATATTTTTCATACTGTATTTCATAATATTTAAAGAACACATTTCAACATACAGTGTGTGTATTTATGTATGTATGTGTATATATATATATATATATATATATATATATATAATGTATGTTGAAATGTGTTCTTTATAAATTACAAAATATATGAATAATATTTTTAAAAATACAGTTTCAACTATACTGTATGTCTTTAAAAATACAATTTAATCTACATTTTTGGAATGCATTTACAAATAGATGTTTTTTATATGTTAAAAACAAATCTGAAGAATATATTTAAAGAATATATATTTTTTTTAATAGTTTTCATATACTTTGCAATATATAAAAAACGCATTTCAACATACAGTATATATATATATTTTTATTAGATTGTAAGCTCCTCGAGCAGGGCCCTCATTTTCCTTCTGTACTGAAATGTATTGTACAGGGGCCGACTGACCATTTGGAAACTCGGGCACTGCTGGAGGGCCCAGGGTCAGTATGGGGCCCCATGAGATGCCCCTGGTACCTTTTTCATAGGCTTTTTTGAGTTTGGGCAAAAACACAGGGGCCCCATGATCCCCTATTGCCCGGGGGCCCCATGAGTTGTCAGTCCGCCCCTGGTATTGTAATTGTATCGTCTCCTGTTTATGTAAAGCGCTGCACAAACTGTTAGCGGCATAAATCCTGTATAATAATAATAAATATAATAATAATAATATAATAATATAAATCCTGAATAATAATATATAATATAATAAATAAAATCCTGAATAATAATAATAATAATAATAATATAAATCCTGAATAATAATAATAATATAATAATAATAATATAATAATATAAATCCTGTATAATAATAATAATATAATATAATAATAATATAATAATATAAATCCTGAATAAAAATATAAATATATATATACATACACACATATATATATATATAATTGAAATATATTGAATACGGCCACAATTGTAGCATTTCAAATATATGTCAATATATTTGGGAATAATATTTTTTAAATATATGTAATAAATATTTTCCTTCCATGTGGGTTGGTCTATGAAATATTTGATTTCGATGATAGATGACATCATAGGGGGCTGTGTGCAGAGACATTCCATGGTCATTAGATACAAAGAATGGATTACTTTCTTGGTTGTTGGGAGGGGGAGGACTTTTCTGTGGTAGACTGGGAAGACTACAACACCAAGCCAGCCTTCATTGAGAAGATGGGGGGGGGGGGGCAAAAAGCTGCTCCTGCTGGAGACCAATGGGAAAACGTTTGGCGTTCATGAGGACTCTCGTACAGACTCAGGAAGATCGCGCACCCGAGTGATTCCACCTCCGGTATTTGCTATTTTTGTTATCTCAGGAGACATAATGATACTTTCTGACATTGTTTTATATTTGGTATTATAATATTTATTCTGCGATCTTTCATCATTTCGTTATTAAACCCGTTTTGATTGTTGCACGAGGCCTGGAAGGACTGTCCCAGAGTGAACATATCCCACCGATAAAAAGTATTTCTGTAAGTTTCCGTATAGCACGACCCCCTTAGACACTGCAAGAGATTGGGGTCCCCCTATAGTCCTCACAGCCAGGCATCGCACATTTCCCGTTCAGATTTGCACCAGGAGGCAGAAACCGGTCCTTTGAGCTTTTTGTTGTGAAGTTTTATTGCGGATGTAGAACTTGGATGGGGTAAGGGGGGGGGGGGGGGGGGTATGGGATGCCTGAGGAATGGTTACTGACGACAAACCTGAAAGATTTACAAGCCTTGTAGTCAGAACTTCTCTTCTAGCAGAGCTCTCCAGCCTCTCCCGATGCACCACCCCAGACCCCAGATACATCCTCTTCTAGCAGAGCTCTCCAGCCTCTCCCGGTGCACCACCCCAGACCCCAGATACATCCTCTTCTAGCAGAGCTCTCCGGTGCACCACCCCAGACCCCAGATACCCGATGTCCAACCACCCCAGACCCAGACCCCAGATACATCCTCTTCTAGGAGAGCTCTCCAGCCTCTCCCGGTGCACCACCCCAGATCCCAGATAAATCCTCTTCTAGCAGAGCTCTCCAGCCTCTCCCGTGCACCACCACCCCAGGAGAGCTGTCCTGCCTCTCCTGCCCACCCCAGATACATCCTCTTCTAGCAGAGCTCTCCAGCCTCTCCCGATGCACCACCCCAGACCCCAGATAAATCCTCTTCTAGGAGAGCTCTCCAGCCTCTCCCGATGCACCACCCCAGACCCCAGATAAATCCTCTTCTAGGAGAGCTCTCCAGCCTCTCCCGGTGCACCACCCCAGACCCCAGATAAATCCTCTTCTAGGAGAGCTCTCCTGCCTCTCCTGTGCACCACCCCAGACCCCAGATAAATCCTCTTCTAGGAGAGCTCTCCAGCCTCTCCTGGTGCACCACCCCAGACAAATCCTCTTCTAGGAGAGCTCTGGTGCACCACCCCAGCCTCTCCTGGTGCAGCCCTCCTGGTGCACCACCCCAGACAAATCCTCTTCTAGGAGAGCTCTCCAGCCTCTCCTGGTGCACCACCCCCCCAGACCCCAGATAAATCCTCTATTTTATCCAGATTGTCTGATGGAATCCCTGGGAAAGGGAGTCCAAAGCTGCCACTTGAGCTGTAGCAGTCCTGGATGTAGAGCTAGTCAGGTTCCCCACCCAAATGCTCTCTCTCCTTCCTGGCCCAGGGGGTGTTGGAGTACTCACTGAGTCCTTCTCCTGTGCTGCTGTTGCATAGGTGGCTGCTACTAGGCCTATGAGCTGGGCTGGTCTTTCCCTGCCGCCAGGTGGTCCTCTCTCAGGGGGCTAGTGAAGTCCACAGCTTTCCTCCTTTCAAGGTTGCCTGGAGGTGAGCCCTTTCCAGCCTAGGCTCCTTCCCAGGCTCCTGCATTTTGGCCTCACTTCTCCTCCAACCCTCCTGCTGCTGAGCAGGCTCCAACACTTTTAAGGGTTTCCCAGCCCCTTGCCAAGTCCCTCAAGAGTGCAGCCAGCCATTCCTCAGATCCACCCACTGCCTCTAGGGCCTTCCTCCAAAGCCCTAGAGCAGATGGAAATTCCAGAGGGACTGGCCTGCAGAACCTCTCAGTCCTGAACATACGTTTACCCCAGTTTGGGCTGCTCAGCCCCTATCTAACCATGGGAGTCTAGCTTCCCCTAGCTACCTAGAAGGGCGCCACATACAGAATAACAAATAACCTCATTCTAACGGGGAGGGGTCTCTCTTCAGGAAGCCCCTCACCTAGAACAGATTGGTTGGCTTTGGCTAGGTGGACCTGAGTGTGCCTTGCCTCTATCAGATATCTTGCACCCTGGGGGGCCAGGAAAGGGACCTTCCACCTCGGAGGGAACCATATGACACCTCCTAAAGCACTTCCTTGTGTTTCTATACACCTCTTTTGCACACCGTGCTGTAGGCTCGAAAAAAAAAAAAAAAAGTGGAGATTAACCAGTGCGGCCTCCATGTTCCCCTCCAGTCAGGACTTCCTCAAGCACTGTATTATATTACAAGTGTCTTCCCGGCCCGATGTTCTCTGCAATACAAAGAGTTTGCTCTATGCAAATGAGCGATATGAATATTTATTAACTGGATAAGTCAGCGAAGAGGCCACACCTGCCCCCTCGCCAGGGTTAGGGATATCCTTGGGGTGGGAAAAACGCCCCGTGTGACCCATGTGACCCGTGTGACCCGTGTGACCCCGCCAGGAAGGAACACGAAGGAGACCCTTTGTATGCACAGAGATGTGTGCTGGAGATCCGGGAACGCGCTCCGCCTAAAAGGATGTTTATAGAGGAATAAAGATCTACTCTGGGAACAAATAGTAATACGATAAATAATAGAAAAATACAAATAAATATAATAATAAATTACAATAATGATAAATAACAACAAATCACAACAAAAACATCTACAGAGAGAGGAGGAACGACCACTGAACTATTACATTTGACCAGCCTCCCCTTCAGTCTTGCACAGGTGCGTTGGCTCCTCCCCTTCAGTCTTGCACAGGTGCGTTGGCTCCTCCCCTTCAGTCTTGCACAGGAGTGTTGGCTCCTCCCCTTCAGTCTTGCACAGGTGTGTTGGCTCCTCCCCTTCAGTCTTGCACAGGTGTGTTGGCTCCTCCCCTTCAGTCTTGCACAGGTGTGTTGGCTCTCCTCCCTTCAGTTCTTGCACAGGGTGGCTGCCTTGGCTCCCCCCTCAGTCTTGCATAGGTGCGCCGGCTCCTCCCCTTCAGTCTTGCACAGGTGCGCTGGCTCCTCCCCTTCATCTTGCACAGGTGTACTGGCTCCTCCCCCTTCAGTCTTGACCACCACTGAGGTGACACTAATGATAAGACACTATTCCTCCCACTGAACCAATGATGGACACTATTCCTCCCACTGACACCAATGATGGGGCACTATTCCTCCCACTGACACCAATGATGGGGCACTATTCCCCCCACTGACACCAATGACGGGGCACTATTCCTCCCACTGACACCAATGATGGGGCACTATTCCTCCCACTGACACCAATGGATGGGGCACTATTCCTCCCACTGACACCAATGATGGGGCACTATTCCTCCCACTGACACCAATGATGGGCAACTATTCCTCCCCCCCACTGACACCAATGATGGGGCACTATTCCCCCCACTGACACCAATTAATGGGGCACTATTCCCTCCCACTGACACCAATGATGGGGCACTATTCCCCCCACTGACACCAATGATGGGGCACTATACCCCCCACTGACACCAATGATGGGCACTATTCCTCCCACTGACACCAATGATGGGGCACTATTCCTCCCACTGACACCAATGATGGGGCACTATTCCTCCCACTGACACCAATGATGGGCACTATTCCTCCCACTGACACCAATGATGGGGCACTATTCCTCCCACTGACACCAATGATGGGGCACTATTCCTTCCCACTGACACCAATGATGGGGCACTATTCCCCCCCACTGACACCAATGATGGGGCAACTATTCCTCCCCACTGACACCAATGATGGGCACTATTCCCTCCCACTGACACTAATGATGGGGGCACTAATACTCCCACTGACACCAATGATGGGGCACTACTATTCCTCCCACTGACACCAATGATGGGACACTATTCCCTCCCACTGACACCAATGATGGGGGCACTATTCCCCCCACTGACACCAATGATGGGCACTATTCCTCCCACAGACACCAATGATGGAGGCACTATTCCTCCCACTGACACCAATGATGGGGCACTATTCCTCCCACAGACACCAATGATGGGACACTATTCTCCCACTGACACCAATTATGGGGCACTATTCCTCCACTGACACCAATGATGGGGCACTATATCCTCCACTGACACCAATGATGGGGCACTATTCCTCCCACTGACACCAATGATGGGACACTATTCCTCCCACTGACACCAATGATGGGGCACTATTCCTCCCACTGACACCAATGATTGGGGCACTATTCCCTCCCACTGACACCAATGATGGGGTTACTATTCCTCCCACTTGACACCAATGATGGGACACTAATTCCTCCCACTGACACCATGATGGGGCACTATTCCCCCACTGACACCAATGATGGGGCACTATTCCTCCAACTGACACCAATGATGGGTCACTTATTCCTCCCACTGACAACCAATGATGGGGCACTATTCCTCCAACTGACACCAATGATAGGACACTATTCCTCCCACTGACACCAATGGATGGGCACTATTCATCTCACTGACACTAACCAATGATGGGACACTATTCCTCCCACTGATACCAATGATGGGGCGCTATTCCTCCCACTGACACAATGATGGGGGCACTATTCCTCCCACTGACACCAATGATGGGCACTATTCCTCCCACTGACACCAATGATGGGCACTATTCCTCCCACTGACACCAATGATGGGGCACTATTTCCTCCCACTGACACCAATGATGAGGGAGCACTATTCCTCCCACTGACACCAATGATTGGGGGCACTATTCCTCCCACTGACACCAATGATGGGGCACTATTCCTCCCACTGACACCAATGATGGGGCACTATTCCCCCACTGATACCAATGATGGGGCACTATTCCTCTCACTGACACCAATGATGGGACACTATTCCACCCACTGACACCAATGATGGGGGCAACTATTCTACCCACGATACCAATGATGGGGCACTATTCCTCCCACTGACACCAATGATGGGCACTATTCCCTCCCCCACTGACACCAATGATGGGGCACTATTCCTCCCACTGACAACCAATGACGGGGCACTATTCTCCCACTGACACCAGAGAAGGGTCATTGTCTATGCTCACTGACGTCAGGACCTTTTCTATTCCCAAATAGCCAAAGTCCGGTCCCTTTAAAGTCCGAAGCACAGTACAATGTTGCCTTTGTTTAGAAAGTTTGGAGACCCCCCACTCTGGGGCCTCTGTTTGGGGGGTTCCATGCAGTCTTCTTGCAAACAAATGCAGATTTTTCCATGTAGAGAAGGATGTTAGAATTGGCCCCGGGAGGGGGAGGAGGGGGAGTGGGAGGAGGAAGGGGGAGGGGGAGTGGTTAATGATTACAAAGCTGCATTACCTCCCCGGATCTCATCAAGCCGGACATTGAAATTGTGCGACTTACAGTAAAGTCGGGGAGAGATGCCGATTTCAGGTGCGATTTTACAGGACATCTGACACAGATATCTATGCAATTCGCTCCAAAAGTATTGCATGGACTACTATAGAAATCGGTCAGAACCGCCCCGATACGACCGTCCCGATACGACCGCCCCGATACGACCGCCCCGATACGACCGTCCCGATACGACCGCCCCGATACGACCGTCCCGATGCGACCTCCCCGATGTGACCGCTTCGATGTGGACCGCCCCGTTGTTACAGCTCCAATGTGACCTCCCCCGATATGATTGCTCCGATATCACCACTCCAATGGCGGACAATAGGCTGGGAGTTGGCATCACATGCAGATCCCATGCCAAGTCGCCCCCGATGTGACCGCTACGATGTGACCGCTCCGATGTGACTGCCCCGATGTGACCGCCCCAATGTGACCGCCCCAATGTAACCGCCCCTATATGACTGCTCCAATTGCGGACAATAGGCTGGGAGTTGGCATAGCATGCAGATCACATGCCAAGTCGCACCTGATGTGACCTTCCCGATGTGACTGCTCCGATGTGACCGCCCCGATGTGACTGCCTCGATATGACCGCCCCCGATATGACTGCCCTGACGTGACCTCCTTGATGTGACCACCCCGATATGACCGCCCTGATATGACCTCCCTGATATGACCTCCCCGATATGACCGCTCCAATATCACAGCTCCAATTGCAGACAATAGGCTGGGAGTTGGCATAGCATGCAGATCACATGCCAAGTCGCACCCATGTGACTGCCCCGATGTGATCGCCCCGATGTGACCTCCCCGATATGACCTCCCCTGATATGACCTCCCCGATATGACCACCCCGATATCACTGCTCCAATTGCGGACAATAGGCTGGGAGTTGGCATAACATGCAGATCCCATGCCAAGTCGCACCCGATGTGACCGCTCCAATGTGACCGCTCCAATGTGACCACTCCAATATCACAGCTCCAATTGCAGACAATAGGCTGGGAGTTGGCATGCATGCAGATCACATGCCAAGTCACACCCGATGTGACCGTCCCGATGTGACCGTCCCGATGTGACCGCTTTGATGTGTGCCCGCCCCGATTGACCGCCCCGATGTGGACCGCTCCGATGTGACCCACTCCAATTGCAGACAATAGGCTGGGAGTTGGCATAGCATGCAGATCACATTCCAAGTCGCACCCGATATGACCGCCCCGATACATCCGTTCCAATACGACCTCCCCCGATGTGACCACTCAGATGTGACCCCCCCCCCCCCCGATGTGACCTCTCCGATATAACCGCTCCGATATGACCGCTCCAATTGCAGACAATAGGCTGGGAGTTGGCATAGCATGCAGATCACATGCCAAGTCGCACCGATGTGACTGCCCCGATGTGATCGCCCCGATGTGACCTCCCCGATATGACCTCCCTGATATGACCTCCCCGATATGACCACTCCGATATCACTGCTCCAATTGCGGACAATAGGCTGGGAGTTGGCATAACATGCAGATCACATACCAAGTCGCACTCGATGTGACCGCCCCGATGTGATGATGTGACTTCTCCGATGTGACTGCCCCGATGTGACCGCCCCGATATGACCGCTCCAATTGAGGACAATAGGCTGGGAGTTGGCATAACATGCAGATTACATACCAAGTCGCACTCGATGTGACCGCCCCGATGTGACCTCCTTGATGTGACCGCCCTGATGTGACCTCCTTGATGTGACCGCTCCGATGTGACTGCCCCGATGTGACCGGTCCGATGTGACCGCCCCGATGTGACCGCCCCGATATGACCGCTCCAATTGCGGACAATAGGCTGGGGAGTTGGCATAGCATGCAGATCACATGCCAAGTCGCACCCGATGTGACCTCCCCAATGTGACCTCCCCAATGTGACCGCCCCGATGTGACCACCCCGATGTGACCGCCCCGATATTACCGCCGCGATATGACCTCCCCGATATCACCGCTCCGATATCACCGCTCCAATTGCGGACAATAGTCTGGGAGTTGGCATAACATGCAGATCACATGCCAAGTCGCACCCGATGTGACCTTCCCGATGTGACCTCCCCGATGTTACCGCCCCGATGCGACCGCTCCGATGTGACCGCCCCGATGTGACCACCCCGATATGAACACCCCGATATGACCACTCCAATTGTGGCCAATAGGCTGGGAGTTGGCATAGCATGCAGATCACATGCCAAGTCGCACCCGATATGACCGCCCCGATACGACCGCCCCGATGTGACCACTCTGATATGACCGCTACGATATGACCGCTCCAATTGCAGATAATAGGCTGGGAGTTGGCATAGCATGCAGATCACATGCCAAGTCTCACCCAATTTGACCGCCCCGATGAAACCTCCCCGATGAAACCTCTCCGATGTGACCTCCCCGATATCACTGCTCCGATATCACTGCTCCAATTGCGGACAATAGGTTGGGAGTTGGCATAACATGTAGATCACATGCCAAGTCGCACCCGATGTGACCTCCCCGATGTGACCGCCCCGATGTGAGCGCTTCGATATGACCGCCCCGATGTGACCTCCCCGATGACCGCCCCGATGTCACCTCCCCGATGTGACCGCTCCGATGTGACGCCCCGATGTGACCGCTCTGATGTGACTACTCCGATGTGACCGCCCCGATGTGACCACTCTGATGTGACTGCTCCGATGTTACCGCCCCGATGTGACCACTCTGATGTGACGCTCCGATGTGACCGCCCGATGTGACCACTCTGATGTGACCGCCCCGATGTGACCGCCCCGATCGTGACCGCCCCGATGTGACCGCCCCAATGTGACCGCCCCCGATGTTCGATATGACCTTCCCCGATGTGACCTCCCCGATGTGACCGCCCCGATGTGACCGCCCCGATGTGACCGCTCCCCGATGTGACCGCCCCGATGTGACCGCCCCATAGTCCCGATGTGACCGCCCCGATGTGACCGATGTGACCGCTTCGATATGACCCGCCCCGATGTGACCTCCCGATGACCCCCGATGTGACCGCTCCTCTTCCCGATATGACCGCGCCCGATGTGACCGCTCCGATGTGACCGCCCCGATGTGACCGCTCTGATATGACTACTCCGATGTGACCGCCCCGATGTGACCGCCCCATAGTGACCACTCTGATGTGACCGCTCCAATTGGGGACAATAGGCTGGGAGTTGGCATAGCAGGCAGATCACATGCCAAGTCGCACCCGATGTGACCGGGGTATAAGTTTGTCTTTTATA